GGCGAAACCACTGAGCTAAATCCCCGGCTCCCCCAACTGTATTCTTAATTTTAAACATGTATTCTTCTTTTTTTCCTTGTTGTGTCATAGATATATCTTTACAAATAGTTAGATGTATGTAGTCTTTGTAACTTATTGTAAATGTATTGAAATTCTATTTTCTGTTGGGCTGAGGTTTTTTTGGTACCAGGGATCAAACTCGGGACCTTGTGCTTGGGAGGCAGGCGGCTGCACCACTAAATCCCTGGCCCTGTTGGGCATTTTAATTATTTTCACTTTGTTGCTTTAATAACATTGTAGTAAATTTTGCATGTCTTAAAGAAGTTTTCCATGTCTTAAAGTAGATTGCTAAAAGGTAGATTTCACTTGGTCAAGATAGTTATTGTTGACTTTTGACAGATACAGTACTGCTAGGTTGTTTTCCAAAAGGCAGCTAATTAAGTTTATTGTATTAAGCCCAATGTAGCTGGGTGTGGTGGCAATCTCAGCTACTCAGGAGACTGAGGCAGGAAAATCACAAGTTTGAGCCCAGGGTAGGCAATTTAGAGACTGTCTCAAAAAACAAAAACAAGAGAATGCTGGGTGTAATGCCTACTTGTAACCCCAGGTAATTGGGAATTTGATGGAGGAGGATTCCAAGTGTAGGGCCAGTCTGGGCAATTTAGTGAGACCTTGTCTCAAAATTTTAAAAAGCTGGGGATGTAACTCAGTGGTACAGAGCCCCTGGGTCAATCTCCAACACTAGGGAGGGGAGAAAAAGGGAAATAATAAAGTATACAGTCAGCACAACTCAGAATATAGGAAAGTTAAATGTAAGTGTCAGGTCATCCTGGTTCATCAGCGGATAATTTATAAGGGAAGATAGAGGAATATCTGTAGACTGAGACTCCAAAAACATCTCTTAAAAAGTCAGAACTTTGACTTTTAATGTTTAATGTTGAGGGATGTCACTAGACTGATAAAACTAAAAGAAAAGGGAGTGATTATCAGCAGTCAGGATACTAGGTACTTTGGGGCGAGGTGGGTATTGTAATTGGGCAGAAATATAGGAAGAACTCTGGCGTGCTGATGTTTTTAGTTGTGTAATTCAGCAAGTTTATTTCTGTTCCCTGACATGGGTGGTGGTTTTAGGGGTATCTGCCTTATGATTCACTAGTTTATACTTTTTCTTTAGGGGCTTTTCTGTTTTGTGTGAGTGATATAAGGGTAAACATTCTCTTCTGGTTTGTTTCCCCCATAGGAGAATATAAATACTCAGGAAGAGATAGTTTGATATTTTTGGTGGATGTCTCCAGGCCCATGTTTGAATCTCAGGGTGAAAATGAACTGACTCCTTTTGATATGAGTATCCAGGTAAGACTACCTTTTTATTTGATTAATAATATAAATAAACAACAACAAAAAAGTATTAACATAACTTTTAAAAACATGGATTCTTTGGGCCAGGGATTTAGCTCAGTGGTTTTGCTGCCTGCTGTGCAAGCGCAAGGACCCGAGTTCGATGCCCAGTACCAATAAAAAAAAAACATGGATTCTTCGAAAGGTTTGTGAATGATATGTGGTTAGCCTCTTAGGATGGCTGCCTATGATTGCAGTTGAGAAAGAAGCAGCAGGGTTAGCTGTGTGTGGTAGTGCAAGCCTGTAATGTCAGCAACTTAGGAGACAAGTCGGAAGCCA